TAGGGATTGAACATCAACTGAGAAGGTAGAGAGCAGAGATCGATTCCTACTCCGGTCAGATGTGTCCATTTCCCCTCCGCTGCTCTGAGTTCAGTCCGGTGTTCACGAAGACCCTCAGATAACCGGGGCTAGTGCTGGAGTGCTAACTGCCCTTGAAGATAAAGCGGAGCATAAAATATATATCTGTTGCGGTATTCACATCCAGAGAGGATAATATAGAGGCCGAGGGAAGAGAAGATGACACAGAGGAGAGATGGGAGGGAGAAAGTGAGCGAGGTTTCGTCTGAAAGTAACTGCTAGTGTGGATAGTGAGCTGTAGATTGAAGGTGATGATCTAAAACGTGGAGAGGTTTCACCAACATGTGGTCTGAGATGCAGTTGCGTGTGTAAACCAGGTCCAGTTGGTTGTCTGACTTGTGAGTACCTGTGGTGATGAGCTGAATGAGGCTAGAAGAGAGATGAAGTCTGTAGCATACTGTACGGCCTCTTTAGATGACTGTTGAAGTCGCCAACGAGTTCCAGTGGAGGGCCATCCTCAGGGAAGGAGGACAGCAGCACATCCAACTCCTCTACAAAGCTTCCCAGTTGACCTGGGGGCGATAAATCTTAATGGGAGCTGTAAGTGTAATAGCATGATATGCAAATGAGTTGAACCCATTGTGAAGAGTGTGTGTGTGTGTGTTTCTGTAGGTGTTGAGTATTTGGGAGGGCACCACGAATGTTTTGTCTCTGGATGTCCTGCGCTCGATGGCGAAGTCCTCCGGCTCGGTTCTCCAGGCGTTCTTCAGCGATGTGGAGGTGAGAACACACACTCTTTACGCTGCAGTGCCCAATCATCAGTGCTGCACACCGACTGTACAATGAGCTTGTGCTGCTAAATGTGTGTGATGTGTGTGTGCAGGCGCGTCTGCTGGCGGCTGAAGCCTCTCCCGTCCTGCGTCCTGCGCTCGCGTGTCTCTGCGCGTCTCTCTCGGCGCTGAAGCGTTTCTGTGCGACGGCGGCGTCTCGGCCCGCGGGAACAGTGGAGCTGGCAGCGAGAGACCTGGCCTACAGCCTCGCGCGCGTCTACATGGGTAACACACACACACACGTGCACGTTACACACAGACACACACATGTACATGTAACACACACACACATATGGACATTACACAGACACACACTGATGATGCATTACCAGTTCATCTGTCCAATCACAGGAGCTCTCCTGGTGGAGCACGCCTCGTGGGAACACGCCACACACACCGACGTCTACGCCGCCCTGAGGTGAGTGAGTGTGTGTGTTATGAATCTTGTGTAACGTGAATGTGTGTGCGTGTGTGTGTGTGTGTGTGTGTGTGTTATGAATCTTGTGTAACGTGAGTGTGTGTGTGTGCGTGCGTGTGTGTGTGTGTGTGTGTTATGAATCTTGTGTAACGTGAGTGTGTGTGTGTGTGTGTGTGTTATGAATCTTGTGTAACGTGAGTGTGTGTGTGTATGTGTGTGTGTGTGTGTGTGTTATGAATCTTGTGTAACGTGAGTGTGTGTGTGTGTGTGTGTGTGTTATGAATCTTGTGTAACGGGAGTGTGTGTGTGTGTGTGTGTGTGTGTGTGTTATGAATCTTGTGTAACGTGTGTGTGTGTGTCTGTGTTTGTGTGTTATGAATCTTGTGTAACGTGAGTGAGTGTGTGTGTGTGTGTGTTTGTGTGTTATGAATCTTGTGTAACGTGTGTGTGTGTGTGTGTGTGTGTGTGTGTGCGTGTGTGTGTGTGTGTGTGTGTGTGTGTGTGTGTGTGTGTGTGTGTGCTGCAGGTGGTGTGATCAGGATTTGTGTCCAGTGGTCAGTCGAGACGCTTCAGGTTGTTTTGACTCGCAGACGACAGCAATGGATTCGGCGCTGGTGTACGACGGCCTGAAGCTTTAAACACACACACTCTCTCTCACACACACACTCACATTATATTGATTGTGACACTCTGGCGGAGCTCGAGTTCGTTAAGCTTTAGATCGAGGTTTCTTCATGTCAGTTACTCACATTACTCACGTATATAAGATGTTTGTAAACATTGTTTTAATTCTGTTGAATAATTGCTTCATAAGTGCTGTGAATATTGTTAAATAACTGTGTTTCACATGTTCAGAGGACGACACAAACCAAACCAAGCTCAAGCCAGTGTCCTGCACACACACACACACACACACACACACACACACACACACACACACACACACACACAGTGATTCTACAGTACACTCTTCAGATGGCAGAGGTTTAAGGAAAGACTTAAGCAGATCATTATAAGAGTCCAGAAGCGTGAGTGTTTCCGAAGCGCTCTTCATCTGCTCTGACTGTGGCAACCGCTAATGCTGATCTGGGATCTGTGTGTTTGTTTCTAGCAGAACGCATTTAAAGTCTCCATCAAATCCAAACTGACAGTTTTTCAGGGAATATTGCAGTTTATTGTAAATGACTGATGCACACCATTATTGTATTAAATTGATGTTCCTGGTAATTTTGAATCAGAATAATTCCTCTTGCATTATCTCTTCTTCTCTGACGATGTGGGCGGGGCTTTAACCTGTCACTCACATGAGACCAGCCAATAGCAAACCACAACGACCCAATCAATTCCTCACAGACACAGTTAAGCCCCGCCCACATGTCTTCTTGTTCCTGAAGATTTCAATCGATATACGACACAATAGAGAAACGACCAGCTCAACTTCCCTTTTCCTAACAAATAATCCTCCCTAGTTTATTAAACAATAAACTAATTATATGCTAATGAAAGTTAGGCCGTGTGTCCACCAAAGCGTTTTTAGCCAGCTGAAGACGCCGTGCTTTGGGCGCTTGAGAGCGTTTTGGCAGCGCAGCGTTTTTCCGTTGAGACGTTTCGTTGCTATGATACAGAATACCCGCAGCACAGTTTGAATGTTGACAGTTGGTCGGTGTGGTATTAGTCCCGCCCCTCCTCCACTGTGATTGGACGGCTGGGTAAAATGTGACAGTGATGAGCGCTGCGTTTTATCCAAAGTTGAACATTTTTCAACTCTCGGCGACCAGTAAAAACGCCAGGCGCTCGCCGCTTCAGCGTGAAAAAAACGCCAAGTGCCTCGTTACGCTCATGGCGTTTAAAAAACGCGACGCTCCCATTGAAAACAATTGAAGACATACACCAGGCGCGTGGAAAAACGCTTTGGTGGACACACGGCCTTAGTGATTCTGATTAAAATATCAAATGTAGCCTAAAGTAAACTTTAACGAGTTTTAAGCCAAATGTTGTTTTGTATTTGTCACTTTTTGGGTCTCAGTTTAATGGTGTTGTATTTATTGTTTTTTGTATTAATTTATGCGATTGATCATCTGCATGATAGCGTTTCAGGGATGAGTGCGCGCCGTCGCATGCCTCCTCGTTTCCCAGAGTGCTTTGTGCTCCTGGGGAACTGTAGTGTGTGCATGGGCAATAATGCTGCTGGTGTTACATGAGCCGCCGATCCATAACCATCATCACCAGCCTCTTCTTCTTCCAGTAAAGTTCACGTGTGTGTGTGTGACCTTCTGCGGCTCTTCCAGATGATCTGACCTTTCAGAGCGCCTATGTCTGACCTTTGACCTGCCGTTAGCGCACAGATGCTTTATCGTACAGCTGCTCTTCTGGACGTGACGTGCACTTAAAACGGGAGCTTTCAGAGATCTGTTAGAAAACATTGCCTCAGTCTTTCTACCTCAGAACGTCTTGCCTGATCTCACAGGAAAAGTGAGACTGTGTTGAAATTTATTTATCAAATGTGTTTCTTGCCTAGTGAAAATAGAAAATAGCAGAGTCGGCTGTACAACAGGCGTACGCGAGAGCGTCACTTTACACCCTGAGAAAGTGCTAGCGGCGACGTGGGCTGAGCTAGAGGCGGCGTGGGCTAAGCTAGCGGCGGCGTGGGTTGAGCTAGCGGCGTGGGCTGAGCTAGAGGCAGCGTGGGCTGAGCTAGCGGCGTGGGCTGAGCTAGAGGCGGCGTGGGCTGAAGCTAGAGGCAGCGTGGGCTGAGCTAGCGGCGTGGGCTGAGCTAGAGGCAGCGTGGGCTGAACTAGCGGCGTGGGCTGAACTAGAGGCGGCGTGGGCTGAAGCTGGGCTGAGCTAGAGGCGGCGTGGGCTGAACTAGAGGCAGCGTGGGCTGAACTAGAGGCGGCGTGGGCTGAACTAGAGGCGGCGTGGGCTGAACTAGAGGCGGCGTGGGCTGAACTAGAGGCGGCGTGGGCTGAGCTAGCGGCGGCGTGGGCTGAGCTAGCGGCGGCGTGGGCTGAACTAGAGGCGGCGTGGGCTGAACTAGAGGCGGCGTGGGCTGAGCTAGCGGCGGCGTGGGCTGAGCTAGCGGCGGCGTGGGCTGAACTAGAGGCGGCGTGGGCTGAACTAGGGCGGCGTGGGCTGAACTAGCGGCGGCGTGGGCTGAACTAGCGGCGGCGTGGGCTGAGCTAGCGGCGGCGTGGGCTGAGCTAGCGGCGGCGTGGGCTGAGCTAGCGGCGGCGCGGGCTGTGCTGTGACTCAGCGTGTGGAGGCACGGTATCTAGGCTTCCCCTAGGACATGTGCGTCCCCAAATCGCCAAGACCGCTGCAATTGCAGCCCGCCCAAAACAGTTTCTTGGGTTTGGCGGGGTATATTGTCGAAGGGTTATACTTAATTATTCTGAGCTCGTCAGCCCGCTGGTCCAGTGGACAGAGCTGTGCTCTCCAACTGGGCGGCGTCATGAGGTCGCTGGGCATCTGCTGGGTTGGGTGGTTCGAGCGGGTTGGGTCTGTGGGTCTAGTCGGGTCAGTTCGGGTTGTGCGGGGTAGGGCGGGTCAGGTGGGTCCAGTAACTGGTGGAGAGATATAAGGAACCTTTCCCCCCGGACTGATTATACAAGTGTTTTGTGTTTGTTTTGAGCCCTACTGGATTTATTTCCTGTGTTTCTGAGTATACTGTAAATACAGACTTGGAATTCTCGCCACCCTCATGACTTTGTCATTTGCTTTTGAGTTGTTTACAGGCTTATTTTAATTTACAGGTAAAACCTAAATGAATTCATAGATGAACTGTGTAAGATGACACAGTACTAATACTAAACACTGAATTAAGAAAGATTTGTGTGGCCGTTGAATGGATGATGTTCCTCAGTGTTTCAGACACTGAATCACGCAAGTCCATCGCAGAATAAAGTCACTGAATCATTGATGAGTTCTGCAGTAATTCAGTAGCGTCCGATAAGATCAGGAAGAGTCCGGTGGCGGAGGACAGATGCTGATGAGCTCAGAGCTTCAGCAGGATCACTCCCCATAAAGTCACGATGCCCTCAATTAAAACATCAGAGCTTTTATTTATACACAGAGAACTGGAGAAGAACTTAGTTTAGTGTTCTATGCTGTGTGTGTGTGTGTGTGTGTGTGTGTGTGCCTGTGTGTGTGTGTGTGTGTGTTTCAGGTCATGAACAGTGAACTCTCTTCACTGCCATCGATCAGAACATTCCGGACCAGCTGAGGCCTAAGAGCAACCTCTCTCTCTCCCTCTCTCCCTCCCACTCTCTTTCTCTCTTAAATTCACTTCAATTCAAATGGGCTTTATTGACTTGTACTGTATTGCCAAAGCATTGCCAATTACATAGGCAATGAACAAATAATCAATCAAATTAACCAGTAAACAAATACCTGAATACATTTATATATCAGGAAATAAAATTATAAAGAAAGGAAAAGAAAACATACACTTTTGTACATTTGTACCAGCATTCAGACTTTAGTTTGCTCCTGACACCGCAGGGCTTCAGTCTGGTATGAGTTCGGGTCACTGCACTCCGGAACCGGTTCTGCTCCTGACCGCAGGGCTTCAGTCTGGTATGAGCTCGGGTCACTGCACTCCGGGACCGGTTCTGCTCCTGACCGCAGGGCTTCAGTCTGGTATGAGCTCGGGTCACTGCACTCCGGGACCGGTTCTGCTCCTGACACCGCAGGGCTTCAGTCTGGTATGAGCTCGGGTCACTGCACTCCGGGACCGGTTCTGCTCCTGACACCGCAGGGCTTCAGTCTGGTATGAGCTCGGGTCACTGCGCTCCGGGGCCAGTTCTGCTCCTGACACCCCAGGCCTTCAGTCTGGTATGAGCTCGGGTCACTGCACTCCGGGACCGGTTCTGCTCCTGACCGCAGGGCTTCAGTCTGGTATGAGCTCGGGTCACTGCACTCCGGGACCGGTTCTGCTCCTGACCGCAGGGCTTCAGTCTGGTATGAGCTCGGGTCACTGCACTCCGGGACCGGTTCTGCTCCTGACACCGCAGGGCTTCAGTCTGGTATGAGCTCGGGTCACTGCGCTCCGGGGCCAGTTCTGCTCCTGACACCCCAGGCCTTCAGTCTGGTATGAGCTCGGGTCACTGCACTCCGGGACCGGTTCTGCTCCTGACCGCAGGGCTTCAGTCTGGTATGAGCTCGGGTCACTGCACTCCGGGACCGGTTCTGCTCCTGACCGCAGGGCTTCAGTCTGGTATGAGCTCGGGTCACTGCGCTCCGGGACCGGTTCTGCTCCTGACACCGTAGGGCTTCAGTCTGGTATGAGCTCGGGTCACTGCACTCCGGGACCGGTTCTGCTCCTGACACCGCAGGGCTTCAGTCTGACTTCAGAGACAAGAGCAGGACTGTGTGTTTGAGCGTCTGTGATCTGAGGACGGGTTGCGGCTGCTCTACACGTTACCATCTCCAGTCTGGCCTCGGTCTGTCAGCTAATGTTCTGTATGGGTTCTGTATGGATCCGGCTCACAGCTCATCGTCTCTTCCAGCTCTCCGAGCTCAAGGTGACCTTGCTCTAAATGAAACTCTGAGCTGTTCTCTCTAAGGTTCTGTAGTGGCTGCAGTGCAGTAAACGCCTTTAATCCGTGAATAAGGGAAGAGTGGAAATGAAACTGATAGAGTAGGACAAAAGCTTTAGTCTCTTCTGCGGCTGTGTGAAGCGTTTCCCGCGGGACGAGCATGAGTGTTTGCTTAGCATACATCTGTAGTTAAGTAGATCAGGGAAGTCGGGCTGCGCGGTAATTATGGAACAAATTAAAACGTGGAAATGTATTTTAGTGGAGCTCCCTCCTCTGAGTGAGAGAGAAAGAAAAGAGTTCATGTGAAAATACAATCTGGAAATGAGAGAGCAATATCAAAGCGCTCCCTCGCTCCCCGGCGCAATTACCCAGCATTCCCCTTCATTAACGTTAACTGATCGCCGGTGCCGGGTCAGATGTGCGTGACCTATGACCCCAGAATCTCACCGACTCTCAGCTTTATCTAGAAAGGAAAACTTTGAAGGAATTGTCATGCTGGTTTCTACTGTTGTACAGAGAAGCAGTCGAATGAATACATGGACCTGTTTGTGTTACTAAAGTCACGTGATGAAACTGTGTGGTGACTTTGGTAGTTATACACGCTAGATCAAAATGCAACGTATACTTCAATGTCAAAGGTTACAAATCTAAATATGTATATAAACATGAAGCAAGACTGCTGTAGAATAGTGTTCGT